AGCAAAATTTACTTTTAGCAAACATTATGTCAAAAGTTCAAGAGCTTGACTCAATCCTGTGAAACAGCAGTTTATTAGCTCCACCCTTAAAAAGTGATTTTGTTGACCATTTTCCTTACAATCAAGAAGATATATGTAAAAAAACCATAGAAACGTGGCCCGAAATGTGTAACAAGGTGGTAAAATAGTACTGGGTTCACACTAATTTGAGTCGGTGAGCCACTTGTCAGTGAGCCCAGCTGAACATCCTGCAAAATCCAGGACGGCATCGAAGTACATATTTTGCATTGCAAGACGGCAAGTTTTGTACTGGTACTCATCAGAGTTCAACATTTTTTACTCTGATCGAACATTTTTGAACTTTTGTCTTATTTGATTTCACTGACTAGTGTGATCTACCAAAGAGGTCAAAAGAGACCCAAAATTATAGATATCTCGGCGTAACCTCAACTTAATATTCCAATGCAAACTGCCTGAGCTGAACACGCAGTGCTTCAGTTTTGTACTGGTACTCATTAAAGCTCAAAGTTGTTGACTGTAATTGAACAATTAAGAACTTTTTCGCTTTGTTTTCTCCACTAAATAGTGTGGATCCGGCATTATTTGACCACTTTGTTATAAAGTTCGGGTCACGTTTCTGGGAATTTTTCTTCTTCTTGATGGTTACACTGAGGAAAAAAATTCGGTTACGTGAACCGAACGTCCGGTGTTCTATATCATCCCAAATAATCGGTTCGTCAAACTGAACTTCCGGACAAAACATATTGAATTAAACAAACTATCCACCGATGTATTGCCAGACGGCGGTTCCGGTGTGTCAGCAACTGGCTGACAACAAGTCCCCGAACAGGCCATCCTATGATATCAGACACTAATTTTAATTACCTATTTTTTTAATTGTATGTATTTTAAGTGTAAATATTCAGTTTGTATGCAAATGATCAAATAAATAGACCTGTTAAATAAAAAAATAAAAAAAACTGAACTTCCGGTTCGTGCAACCGTGCGTTCGGCATATACATATGATCATAGGCGGTTCTAGACCTTCTCTCTTGGGGGTGCCCAGCCCAGAGGTGGAAAATGTCGGAGACCGGCTCCACAGGGGATGGTCGCTCAGGGCAGGCCTAAGTTTCGACCCTCAAGTTTTATCCCTTCCCTACCCTCCTTTCTCTTTTTCTCTCCTTCCTCTCCACTTAAATACCTGTAAATTCAATTTAAAAAATTTTTAGCAAAAATTTCTATCAAAACTACAATCTTACCATAAAAAAAACAGTGGAATCTTTGTAAGGCACGGCTATCAATTTTAATTTTGTTTAAAAAATGTTCAATTAATTGCTGGGATTTTTTCTCAGTATAAGCGAATACAGAATCTTTAAAAGCAGTAATTTCACGGTTCCGATGACCGTACTTAATATTTGCTTGGGGGTGCCTGGCACCCACTGGCACCCCCGTAGAACCGCCTATGCATATGATCAAACTGTGCTCGTGAGTTCACTTTACCGCACAAGTTCGGTTACATGGACCGATTTCGGTTGGACAAAACACCGAATACTGAACACCGAACTTCGGTACGTACAACCGAACTTTTTTTTTCAGTGTGCGTACAGTGGCTCTAAAATTCTAAATCCGTCGCTAACCATCCCAAGTAGCATTTTTCAACGGATGAATCGCGATTTGTTGCGATTTTTTCGGCAATAAAATTGCTATCTAGATCATCAACATCTCTTGTTGCAATAAAATCGCGATTTTATCGCCCGGCAATTTATCGCGATATTATCGCAACAAAAATCGCGATATATGGCGATTTAATCTCGATTTTATCGACGAAAATTGATCGCGATTTTATTGAACAAAAAATTGAAATGCATAGCGATTTAATCGCCATAAATCGCAATTTTTTATTCGATAATAAAGTGCCACCGATGTAATCGCGATAATCAACCGGTAAAATCGCTATTTATCGCGATCACTGCTACTTGGGATAGGAAGCATCATGCAATCTAAAAATAGCTCAGCCGTCCAGAAATAGATTTCTAGACGCACAAAATTACCCTCCGAAAATTGCGCGGCGAACGTATCGCGAAATTTTCCTCCTTTCTTATCCTGCGCTCGGCGGGGCATCGCACTTCCTCGACGGCGGCGCAGCACGTGTGAGGGCATACCGGAAAACTCCGGAAAAATCCACCTTCTCCAGCCATCACCGCGGAAAGTTCTCAGTTGATCGGGGCTTCATTGATACTCCCGTCTTTTCCTCGTCGTTACACGTGCGCAAGGAATGGTCACTCGCGGAACGAGTGATGGGGGTCAAGAGAGCGAAGCCCGAAGGAGGGTACCACACGCTACAGCTGCAGCCGCACGCACCGAAAGAAAGTCCTTTTGAGGAAAACTCGAACGAAATGAGTGGCGCCTCGTTCAAAATTTGAATTTAGCCAATTATAGACCTGCCGGCCGATTATTGAAATTGATAGACAAAGCTACAGACGAAGAAGACAATTGGGATATGGATGGATCCTATTGGTGGAAGTGGGTGGTTGCAATGGACAAAGGAGGTAGTTAATAGACTAACTAACAGCAATCGACAAGAGACCCGACAGTTGGACTACATTTTGCAATTCGGAACTAATTTCTGGCTCATCAGAAAAAACACTTAGGGGCGTAGGGAAACTAATGTTACATACGTTGTTTTTAAACAGGGCCAGAATTTATATCTCCAAATTGCAAAATATAGCCCAGTTAGTCTATCATTTTCCCTCTTAGTCTGTATAGACCACCAATTTCAACCAATGGGATCGCTATATACTCCCTGTATTTTCTTTGTCTATAGCTTTGTCTGTCGATTTCAATAATCGGCCCGCTGTAGACAAGGAATTTTAGCATTTTGATACCGGCTCCTCAGCCAAAATTTCTCGTAAACATACATGCAAAAAATTAAATTGCTGATTTATCAATATTATTGTTGAATTAAGCGTCCGGTATGTTTAAATGTAGATTTTACAATAAATGAATACTATTTCAACTACCCCCGTTGTTAAATTAGTTTTCGGCTACTGTAAAATGTGCATTCGAAACATGTCGGACATGTTTTTTAAAACTTTAATTGTTCAATCAGTTATCCGCATTTTCTCCGTGTAAGAGTACATATAGTCGTAATATAATCAAGTGAGCTGGACTCTGAATCCACGCTGTATGAAATACAGCGTGAAGGAATGGTAAATTCTACCAATCTTTTTTTTTTCAGTGCGAAAAGCCACCACATAACGCGCAATTTTGTTGAAAATAGACGTCACCACGCTATAAATCATCTCTCAACATTGAAAACGTTTCTTATGCGTCAACACTCTTCATCCATTAAAAATCATCTGAAGCAATCGCATGTATCACTTGTGCGTTGCTGCACTTTTGATTGGGTTTTCAAATGATGCAACTTCGTGCTAGGAAGTATTTCCCCCCAAGAAGGGAAGGCGTTTCTCGTCCGTTAACACCCTTCATCAAAAAATCCGTGGCAACCGCATCAATCATTAATCATCTACGCTGTTGCACTGTTGCTTGGGTTTTAAAATGATGCAACTATTCGACTTCCACGGCCGTGCTAGGAAGTATCATTTCACAATGAAGGCGTTTTGTAGGCGTCAACACTCTGCATCCTGTAGCAACCGCATTAGTCACCAGTGGGATTAACAATCACCACCACACCATTTCGTCGTCTCGTTGTGTCGCTCTGGACGCGAGTCGGCCGAATTCACAACTTTGGGGATCAGAAGTTCAGAACTAGCGGAATTTTCCAACGTTCATTATGTCATTCTGGCGCACATATAGGGTGACCCAAAAGTCGTAGGACACTCCTGTAACTTCTTCACGAATTGAGATGGAGACCTGAAATTTTGACACAGATAACATTACCTAAAATTCAGACGATATGTGACCTAAAATTTGCGTTAAAAGTTTTCTTTCTGTATTAGCTATCCCAAAAAAATGTCGCAAAGTAGGGGTTGTACTTGGAAAAAAAAGTTCGAGGTTCATAGCCCCCTCTAGGGGGTTACAAAAATTTTGACACTTCTATAAATTAATGTAACCACTTTTCGAATGCCCCAAAATTTTTGTAGCCCCCTAGAGGGGGCTATGAACCTCGAACTTTTTTTTCCAAGTACAACCCCTACTTTGCGACATTTTTTGGGATAGCTAATACAGAAAGAAAACTTTTAACGCAAATTTTAGGTCACATATCGTCTGAATTTTAGGTAATGTTATCTAACCTATAGAGGATGCCACCTATATAACCTCTTAGTGATGTCACCTAACTTCTAGGTGATACATCATTCAATCTCTATGTAATGCTACCTAAATTTTAGGTAATTTGGAACAAAGCTGAGGTTTGTAGCCTCCTTCCAGGGTGTATCCAAAATGCTTAGTTTACTTTGACATGTGCAGAAAAGCTGTCAAAAATATTTCAAGTCTTCATCTCAGTTCTTTCAAAAGTTATATACCGGGGTGTGCTACGACTTTTGGGTCACCGTGTACATCACTTCCTCATTATAAATGCTCGATGCCGTCTCTCCCACTTCTCCTAGGACTGATTCCTTTCCACGCCTCTTTGAAAATCCTAAAGGATGCTCCAACTCTTTCTGATAACTCTGCGCCGATCAAAAATTAGTCACCATTTTGTACGCTCTGATATGTAAAGAACTGCATGGTATGGTTATTAATAGCATGGGCGTAGCTAGACATTTTTCCGAGGGGAGGGGGGGCAAGAGACCACTAAACTTTGCGGTTATTGAGTGATATCAAGCTGCCGCACAAGGGGAGGGGGGCTGCCCCCCCCCCTTCATACGTCTATGCTAAAAAGGCCGCAACTAAAATTGTGTCTCTCAGTCATTAACTCAAATATCGTTTGCGATACTTCAGTCTCAGTGATTTTTCTGGGTTACTATTAAAATTATATTTTTCACAAGTTCAGTTTCATATCAGCTAACAATAATTTATAATATTTATGAATATTTATTATCACGAAAGCTAACATTTATGTGCAAAACAGATATTTAAAGTGAATCGCTTCGGTACTTTTTCTGTGCCGTTGCTACTTCTTTGATTGAAGCAAGGATTTTTTTACATTGAATGAAACAATCGCATGTGGATAATCTCGATATACGTGGATCACCGAAATTTTAATGGTAACTAACACTTTCGTGAATGCTAATATAAGCTTAGGAGTGAAGTTTGTTGAAAATTGATAGAAACAACTATCATTTCGTGTTTGTATCCGTGCATTAAAGTCATCATTTTATACAACTATACAAGAATACCAAACCTCATTCTGTCTACGAAAGAAAAAAATCGTGTTAAACTTCAATTTTCACTGTATCACCACGGACTGTTTCATCGAGTGGATCTCAAATAAATGCAAGTAACTCTGCGATCGATATCATCTATATACCGAGTAAGTACCGATTTAGTTTTTTCAATTGTTATGTTTTACCTTTAAACCGATTCTTTTTGAACTCATAAACATATCACTGAACTCGTCATGAAGAGACTCGTCATATCTTAGGTAGCATAGCAAAAATTTACAGCTATGCTGATAAAAATCTGTTTTGGGCACACGTTAAGTAACAGAAAAGCTTTCTTGAATGTCCTTGTGAAATTTCAGAAAACTGTCCAACTCAAAAAAATGAAAATTTCGCTTTCTTGCAGACAAATGGTTTTAGGGTCGCTTATTTATTTATCTTATTATTTTCCTGAAGTATTTATTATTCATTTTTCATTTCACATTAAGAAGCTACAGGCAAATTTCGCTTGTTTCGAAGAATGTCCATGCCAAACTCTTGACATTTGAGATCGTCTATATTATATCATTCAATGGCTGAGAAGTTTCATGTCAACGGTGAAACCACAGGTGCGCGTTTCTCGGTTCTTGACGTTTCAGACTTCCTGTCTTGCTTTATTTTTTAAAGTAGAAATATGCTCCTTAGGAACTTTACTGCTTTTAATTATTCTCTATGCGAAGAATATTCTCAAAAAATACTTTTCTCGGGGACTGAATAACGTGTGCCGAGAAAAAATCATTCATTGAAAAAATCTGAGTTTATTCCGTTTTACACATACTTTTTTTCGAGATAGAGCACTTCCTGAAACATGTGACTCAAGTTTACACGAGCAAATGAAAAAATACAGCTAAGGCATCGATGTTCCGAGTCGGAAAAGCGTTTCTTCATCGAAACGTTCAGGAATCAGCGGTTTGCTTTCTTGCAAAAGAAGTACCCGAAATACCTCCTTGAAATTTTCTGAGAAATTCCCTCGAATGAGCGAGGGAAATTCACAGAAAATTTCAAGAACCACAATACATGTGCTGATTTTATTTGAAAAACGTAAGACATGAGGGAGATTTTTAACGTTGCGATTGGAGGTACGCATTTTCAACTTTAGCCATCGGTATCGTTATATCAGCTCCTTCAGCCTCTATTAGACATTCGGAAGGCCTTTTTCACAATAATAATTAGAGTCTTCAGTCGCATTTAGGTAACCGATATTTTGATATAAATTGCAACTTTGATATACAGTAAAACATCATAGAAGTTTCTATTAATGAGAAAAATCAGTAGGAATCGTGGCCCGAACTGTACGTAACAAGGTGGTAAATTAATGCCGGGCTCACACTATTTTGCGGGGAAAACAAGACCTTAAAGTTCAAACATTTCAATTAGAGTCAAACATTTTAGCTTTAATGAGTATACCAGTACAAGCGACTGAGGGAGGATAGTGTACAGCTCAGGCAGCTGGCATTGGAATATTAATATTGCTCATTAGGGCTGCAATTTTTGACTGTAATTGAAATTTGCGAACCTTTTGGCCTTTAGGCCAGCGCTATTTCACCACCTTGTTAAAGAATTTCACCATACGAACTCAAGCCTTGCTCTGAACCATTTTTTTTTTTCAGAATCATGGATAGAAACACCGAAGTCGTCATCTCAGGAGCTGCCGGAGTATTTCCTGAGTGTAAAGGCATTCTGGAACTTGAGGATGCACTTTTCCGGAAAGCTCACCTCATCACGGACGATCATCGAAAGTGGAAACAAAGTAAGTTCAGTTCACTTGGCCCGCGTTTAACAGAAATGAACCAAGCTACATCAGCTATTGCCAATTTTAACTGGGCGATTTAATTTTTTACGAGAAAACGTTCGTACAGATCCCTTTGAAAATTTTAAGGAATTTGCTTCGTACTATGAAGAAAATTCACTGAGATTTGCAGGAAAATCCGCTCGACTGTTTTCATGTAAACAATTAAATTAACCAATTAAATTTGGCAATAGCTGATGTGGCTTGGTTCCTTTCTGTTTAACGCGGTCCACTTGATATACGTAAAAATGTATCATCTGGCATAACAGGTTATATTTTCGGGTACCTAGTGCAGAAAGAAAATTTCTGTGTCGGAAAATATGAAAATGTATGTATGTATAAGCCGCTTTTACGGCGCGCTAGGGCGCTCTGCGATGACGCCTACTCTCCACAGGAATCTGTCATGGTAGAGATCTTCCGGAAGCTTCCGGAGGCACCATTGGTAAAATTTTTAATTTTCGTGTTTGACAACGTTAAAAAAATTCATTGTTTCCGAGAATTTTGCCGAGAAGTTGCATATCTCGACTTTTTGAAAATTTTGGTGACTTACGTAAAATTCAAAACTTTCACGTTTGAAAATCAACCCTTTTCGAGAATTTTGGCAAAGCAGTTGCGGTAAAATTCGCGCAATTTGACAACGTTGACGAAATGTTTTAACATTTTTGTACATCCTGGCAACGTCAAAAAGTTGCAAGATTCGTGCAATAGAATTGCTGTAAGGTGCAACTTATCTTCCGATCAGATCGCCAAAAATCGGCAATTTTCGACCAAAAGTTGACCGAGAGTTGCAACTTGGTTTCAACTTTTAACCAATATTGTTTCAACTTCTTGCAACTTTTACATTGTAAAATGCTACTTGGGTATGAACCAGCAGTAACAAAAAAACACAAGTATTTTTAGCAGTGTATTCCGTTTGTTTTCCAGATTATGATATACCGACTTATTGCGGCAAGGCGTTCTCCCCGGCAAAGTTCGATGCAACCTTCTTCAACATTCATTACGAGTTTCCCTCTTCCATGGATCCTATTATGAGACAATCATTGGAGACATGCACGGAGGCTATCATTGATGCAGGTATGTTTAATGCAATCGCACCACCCCAAAATAAGTAAAGAGAATTCTGAAGAAAACCCATGAACTTGGCCCTTTATTCTGTGACGCTGAATGAGGACAATTGGACGGCATTAAGCAGAAATGAACCAAGCCATATTAGCTTAATTAAATTAAATTAATAAAAACGCCGACCGCTGCTGACTGCACTGTGTTTGACGCAATGGGTGAAATATTCACGCAGTCTTGTAGACACTACGCGTCTCACGCTGGTCGCACTGTGTTTGATGCAATGCGTGAAGTATTCATGCAGTCTTGTAGGCGCTATGCGTTTCACGCCAACCGCGCGCGCTGTTGGCCGCACTGTGTTTGACGCAATGCGTGAAGTATTCACGCACTCTTGTAGGCGCTAATATGTATGTTACATGCCGACCGCCGCCGCGCCGAATGCTTCTATCCTTTTCATCTCAAGTCCTCGTCATCATTGCTCTCTGCGCCGCGCCGTTCTAAGCCAAAGTCCGTGTTTGGTTTCTCTCTTAACTCGACTATCAAAGGGTGCTGTCTCTTGTATCATTGAAAGACGACAAAATTAGAAATTACTATACTCTTAGGAAAGGAGATATTTTGTCGCCTTGTCTCGTCTTTAATTTTTTTCTGAATCCAATTTTTTACCTTCATTAAAAAAAGCCGCAAAATTTGCTGCCCCCTAAATTTGCCGCCATGAGCCGCGGCCCATGTGGCCATCCCCTAGATCCGACCCTGCATCGAAGTGACTAAAACTGATCCCGAAAATTTCCTGCTGCGAACCGATGATGAGGATTCAATTGCAACCGAATTTTGGGGGAAAGAGGCAAGGAATTCTGAGGATCTATGGGCTGATTGTTGAAATTGATAGACAAAGTTATAGACATTGAAAAAAAGGGATATGGAGAGATTCTATCGGAGGAAGCGGGTGGTTGTAATGGACAAATAAGAACAAATAATCATGAATTAAAACGAGTCCATTTACCCCGAGAAAATGTCTCGATTCACCTTTCTTTTTGTACACCACTATCTGTTTTGTACTTTTCAGGTGTCAATCCAAAAACATTAGCAGGGACTAGAACCGCAGTTTATTCTGCGTACGAATCAAGTGAATCTGAACTCGCCTTGGTAATGAATACTATGATGACCAGTTATAATTTATTTTACACTTATTCCTGAAATATTTAAGCATTACCAGAAATCAATGAAATATTTTGGCATGAAACACTTTATCAATTTTTGAAACTTATCACTTTGTGGTTGTTCTACGAGCTCCCATTATTCACTTTCTTGAGCGAAAAAAAGAACCAAAAACCAAGAAAAAAACACTCGCTTAAGATTTATCATTGCTTATCAAAAACATTGTACAACATGTATATTTGTGAGATGCTCTTCGGCTCCCATTTCATTGGTATGTAAATAACAAAATAATATTTACTGAATCATCTCATTTTCACCACCAAAATTCGAATTATTTTCATTTCAATAAGTGCACCATGTGACTATAAGTACGGCACCCTGTCGAGAAGTACAAAACAGTCACAGACTTTCGATAAAAACATGAGGCCTTTCCCTACAACTGGTCGGGAATAACATACAGAGGCTAAATATTTACAAGAAAAAGGTTTACCACATTTAATACCAAAAGTTACAATCAGATGACAACAAAATTCAATTTAAATATATATTCATGCGCTTATAATCTTTGACAAAACGAGATGTTTTATGGTTGGAACATTGAGCATTTACATCAACAAAATCACGCTTAAGTATGTGAGAACCTATAAGTACTCTGTAAAATGACTATTATTGCTGTTATATAACCGTTGTGAATTTTGCAGGTCCTCGAAGATAACGTCAATACCGCAAGAGAGTTAAATGCCATAGCTGGAACCTACAGGGCCTATTCGGCGAACAGACTTTCATTTGGATTGAATTTTGTTGGTGAGCTTCTGTTCCAAGTCATATTTTTTAAAGTTCAGATATATGATAAAATATCGATATCACGTGAAAGAAACCCATAGACAAAAAATGCGCATTTCCGATATCGACGTTGCAAATCTTCACTCATGTATTACTTGTTTTTAATGGAAAACCAGCCGGCAGTTTTCCTTGAAATTCAATGGCATTCCTTCATTAATCCAATATTATGTTCACAGAAACAAGGATGTTTCATCAGTTCCTGTCTCTGTTTGTGACGGAAAATACCGAAACATGAGGATAATTTCTTAATACATTTCTCACAGCTTAAGGATCTTGGAGGACAAGGTGCATACATGCAGTTGTTGCTATTTAAGGAAATGCGTGTTTAAATGTCTCGAAATCACATGGAGCTTAATGGCGGAGGAAAGTTCAAACTCACTTGTTAAAGCGTAGAAATTGGATTTTAGTCGTAGATTTTTTACAGATTATATTTTAAGACTAGATTTTTTTGAAATTATGAAAACCTCAAATTTGCCAAAAACTGTACGTATGTGCCCTATCCTCCAAGTCCCTCAATCAAGGGAGGGACTTAAAGGACAAGGCGCATAAATGCAATTTTTGAAACAAATGGGATGTCCATGTACTCGACAAAGACAAGTTTGAAAGTATATTCTGTGAAAAATTCACAGCTAAAATCCAACTTTAAAGCATCAAAAAGTGAGTTTAAATTGCCTCTTTGCCGTAAGACTCCATGTTACTTAGCAACTTCTAACCCGTATTTCTCGAAATACCAAAAACTGCACTTATGCGTCTTGTCCTCCAAGCCGGATTCGGGGCAATCGTCATTTTGAGGCAGAGTGCTGCTTAGTAGCGTAGCGTGCTTTGCGATTTATCGATTGATCTGTCATTTAAATCTATGAAAAAAGATCGAAGAACAGGGTGTTCGCAACGAACACCTTAAAAATCGATTCTTTACCATAGCTTCAATTGCAGAAATATCGATAGATCATTCTCGCCACGCCACTGGTGCTGCTCGGTTTTCGGATGAAAAATATTACATGAGAGGAAATGAAAGCTATACGAGGGGCTTAGAGGACAAGGCGCATAAGTGCAGTTTTTGGTATTTCAAGAAATACGCGTTTAAAGTTTCAAAATTACACGGAGCCTCATATCAGAAAGGAAGTTTTTTGCTGCTTTAAAGTTGCATTTTAGCAGTGAATTTTTCACAGAATATACTTTCAAATAGTTTCAGTTGACTTCGTGAATATTTAAATTGTTTCAAAAACTGCACTCATGCGCTTTGCCCTCCAAGCCGGTCATGTGTTTGTTGGGCCGATTCTGTGAAAGTCCTCCATTTTTCCCATTTAGGGCCAAGTCATGCTTTTCAAGGAAGCCATGGGGTGTTTTTCAAAGCAATCCAGCGGGCAAAGTCTGAGCTGGAGGAAGGATTAATACCGGCGGCTGTCGTTGTATGCATGAATTCCATCCAAACCGCCCGAACTCTGGCCATTTTAGACGGAATGGGTCTTGCTGCCCACGACGGAAAGTGCCGACCTTTTGACCAAAGAGGTATGTTAGTCAAAATTCAAGCTTACATGAAACACAGAGACAAGAGACTCCCCACCAGTATCTTGGCAATGGTGGATGATTTTACTTTCAGGGCTTCAACATTCAACTGTTGACCTACCCACTTGTTTGATGGTTAAAAACATGTTGGCAGTTTCGTTTTGTAAACTTATCGAAGTTTGGGAAACTTTTTTGGCTCTTGTCGTCACCAGAAGCTCATCATCCACCAATAAGGTAGGCCAAGAGCCGAAAAAAGATTGATGACTGTTGCTCTCTTATAACTCTCCATAAAGTGCAGAACACGTAGAACGCCGCGTCGCACGGTGCCTTTAAAAGCGTATTTTTTTTTTTTTCATCAATATAAATGAGAATAATCCATGCGGGTGTGCAAACATTTCTAAATCATGAGCTGAAAAACATTGACTCCGCGAGTTTAAATATCAGAGTCGAACACTGAGCGGCACGCGCACTGACGCCTACAAACCTAACAGGGATACTTTACGCATTGCGCAATGCTTGAAGTATCCCTGTTAGGTTTGTAGGCGCCAATGCGCGTGTCGCGCTGGTTACCCTCGCCCGCCGCGCTGCACAGTGCGGCCCTCTGTGGACAGAAATACAAAATTCACAACTCGACAACTGATTATTTTTTTTTTTTTTTTTTGTCATCTTAAAGATATTTCTGACTCACAATGATGGTTCATTTTCAAATTTTTCGCTCAAAACTACTTCATATTTTGGTAGAAAGTTGGTGGAAAAGGGATCGAGATTCACTGGTCCATTAAAATACACGGAAAAAAGACGTCAACTTCAAACGAAGAATTCTCGCTTGAAACGCAAAATGCTCTTGGTGGTTTACATTTTCTCAATCCTCAGACGTCCAACTTTAATCCTTCCAGGAAGATCTTGCGACTCTTTGCGACTATCAGAGATATTTGAAGTTTCAGTTTGGTTGTATCACGTTGTTTGTACGAGTACATTGTTAACATAGGGCTGATTCGAGGTTGCCAACTTCAAATGAACTTTTCTCGAAAAATACGCAAAGAATCCTAAAATACAACATTTTCTTATTCCTCGATTGTTTTACTTCGATAGTGCCAAGGGGTTTTTCTATGTCGGTGCTACTATCTTCATTATTTAAAGTTAAGTGTCTTATACCGATTTCTGTCTGCATCATTCATAAGTGTGTCGCACTGTGCGTCGGTACGAATAAGTGACAAGATGAATCGCCATTGGCAAAAACTACTATCGAAGGATTGTCTCATCATGTCGTTTTGTTCGGGATAGTTTAGAAGAATATCCCCTCGTTTTCAGAGAAGGAGCACTTTTTTTATACCTAGGCTCTTTCCCGTAAGAGAAGTTTCCAGAAGTATGCGCCAAAACATCCAATGAGCATACCTCATAAAACATGTGTTTATTTCGCAATAAAAATTACCCATTTTAATATTTCAGCTCAAGGATACGCTGTGAGCGATTGCTGTGCGGCGTTTTTCTTGCAAAGAGCGACCGATGCGCGACGAAATTGGGCCACCATAATCGGCGCCGATTATAGATACTTCGGCAACAAAAAAGGTGGTCTGCTCGATTTTGACGGACAACCTGCGAAGGAGATGCTGCGTCAACTCTACGCTGAATGGAACGTAGACCCTGAATCTATAGGGTACATAGAGGCGGATGGCTCGGGCATTAAAGTAAGTATATTTGAAATCCTCTGCTGTATACTTACGTGATTCATTCACTGAAAAGAAATATGGCAGATTTTACCATACTCTGACACAGTGATACGAGTGTGGTAATAAATACGAGACTCTGGTTCTGGTAGCATTTCGACGGTGTAAATCGGCAATCGCATAACTCGTTTGCGGTGTCTGAAAATATCCACCTCAATGTTATTTATTTAAAGGAGAACAAATTGACATCACTCCTTGAAGTTTTTGCAGAATTTTCTTCGCCCAGAGAGGAAAAATCACGGCAGTTTTAAAGAATTGCCGTTGAGTACTTTTCCGTTTAAAAAATAAAGTATAACAGGAAGTCTACGACGTCGCAATCCGAGTTAGGTGACTGCTGACTTGCGCCGTCGATTTGTCATATTATGGTAAAAGTCAGCAGAGTTCTGGTGAATACTACCATAAGTCTGTTTATTTTCACTAACTATTATCACTGTGTAAACATTCAAGTAGATTAATAGTAAATATTACCATACTTTTTTACAATGTTTACTTTATTATCCAATAATTTCTATATTAAGCTTGTACTATTTATCCTACATTGCAGGATCCGGTAGTCCTAAGAGACAAGTACTGATCCTGCAATGTAGCGTAAAGTACAAGCTTAAAGTATAAATTTTCGAATAATGAAGTAAACAATGAAAGAAATATGGTAATATTTACTATTAGTCACGCAAATTTGTCACAAGAATAAGATCTTTAGCAGTAGATAATCGATGTAAGTAACTAGTGAGATTACTAGTTCGTTGAGACATTGAGCGCTCCTTCATTTAGGTGTCATGCAAATGAAGCTACGGAAAAGTCGCAACTATTGTATCAGGTCTTCGCTCCCTCATGAATATTGTGCTCCGACATGACAATTCAAGGAGGCCGTAAGTGTTTCCGTCGATTATAATCAGCGTGACGACGGAGTGACCTCATTCCAACAGTAATCTATTTCTATTGCTCTCATTTGACCTCAAAGTATAATTATCTACTTCCAAAGTCTAAATTTAATTGTCTGGAGGTATTTTGAAGACTTTTTTGTGGTTGGAATTGTACAAAAATATCAAATCCACACAAAGTTCGAGATAAAAAATTTGTGATTTGTGAGAATCATACGTTTTTCAGAATCAAAATTAGATGGCAACGCAGAGATCAAAAGAGAGCAAAAGAGATAGGAAACTTTTTTCAGGAACCGAGGCACAGTGGAACGAGTCAATGGGAAAGGTCGGACAAAATCTGAAAATTTTGAAAGCTCATATTTTAAAAAATATGAAACAAAAAAGATTAAGAGTCACTCCATCGGTTTTTCGGTAAAATTTCCTCTCAAAAACACCCTTTGAAATCGAATTTGTGACGAAAAAAACATCTAAATTTGAAATGTTAGCCATAAGTTTCATGTCCGACTTCTCGGACTGACCCGGTCCACCGTGCGAGGGCCACATCGACGTTTCCCTCTCGAGAAAACGTAACTACACTTCAATGTTGCCAAATTTCTCTTCGCAAATTTAATTCTTACAGGGAAAATCTTGGGCATTTCAAATTGAACATTTCTCTGATTTTTCCTCTGATCCCATGAGAAAATCAGAAAAATTTTGGAAAAACATAGCGCATGTATACTAGTGTATATTTTTGTTAACTATTAAATTATTTGAGTCAATTTGGCAACTTTGGAATGGAGTTGCGTCCCTTTGACCACGACATGCCTGTAAATAGCAACGGCGTACAGTAGATCGAGTCAATAGGAGAGCTCGGACAAAGTTTGGAAACTTTAAACGCTTATAACTCCGTTTATACAAAACTTTAAGGTTTTAAATGTGGTTTAATTGGTTTCCTCCTAAAATTTGCTTCAAGAAACACACCTCAAAGTCTAAAATGTGACGAAATAAATATCAGAATTTGCAGTTTTAATCAAAAATTTCATGTCCGACTTCTCTCACTGACTCGATCCACTGTGCGGCGCAAAAGGCAACACTGGAAGAGTCCATTACGCGAGTTTCACCCAAACAACTCCGACTCCAGTGGCACAGCGTGCTTTGCGATATATCGATTGATCTGCCATTTAAACTTATGGAAAAGGATCGATAGACAGGGTAACTTTAAAATCGATTCTTTACCACAGCTTCAAATGGGGAAATATCGATTATCGATCATTAGCGCCTCGCCACAGTCTGATCCAATCATCCTTCAAAAAATCATGCCCCTATTTGTTTTTCCTTCTACAGGAGCAGGATCTGGAGGAGGTAGACGTGATATCGGAGATTTTCTGTCAAAACCGAAAGGAGCCTATGTTGATTGGGTCTGTGAAATCGAACATGGGCCATGCCCAATCGGCAGCTTGCGGTGCCGGCATGGTCAAAGCGCTGATCGCCCTCAACAAATCAAGAATCCCACCAACTATTCACTGTGATTCTCCCATCCCAGAACTATCACTGAAAGGACTCAAGGTGAGTCGTTCGAGGCCTAGTGGTAATTCTTCCTTCTAAAGAATTTGTGGGAAGGAAACTAGGAAAATTTTCCAAAATTTTAATGGTTTTTGAAGCAATTTTAGAGGGAAACCTGCCGGAAAAACTTAGGTTACAATTAGCGAGACACCGTCATGCTTTACGAATTGAGAGTCAATTTGTCAATCGACTTTTAAGTTTCACTCGCTTTTAAAGACGATCGACTGTACCATTATTTTAATTCGTGTGACGTTGCTACGTAACCTTAAAAAAACCTTAGAAAATCTCTCTCTCTCCCCCTCTGTCCCTCCCTCCCTCCCTCTCCCTCCCTCCCTCTCCCTCTCCCTCTCACCCTCTCTCTCTCTCTCAAAAAAGAAAAGAATACAGAGATAACAGAGAATTAGGTAACGCAGCGATCGAGATATTGACGGTGAAACTACCAGGCTACGTATCTCGTTTGCGGTGATTGCAAATCTCCACTCCCATTTTATTTTTATTTTTTTGAAAGAGAACAAATCAAAAAAGTTCCTAGAAGATTTTACGGAATTTTCTTCATGCAGAGGAGAAAAATCATGGAGGTGCTTAAGCATTGATCTTTAGTAGTTTTCTACTTAAATAATAAAGTACGACAGGAAGTCTGCGACGTCAAAAACCGAGAAACATGGATTGGAAGTTTCGTCGTCGTATGTTTTCCTAGAGAGAAAACCCCTGTTTTTCTGAGCAGAGCACCATCCGAAATGTTACCAAATCTCTGGTCTACCAATTACCAAAGATTCTATCCTCCAAAATTTGGAAATCAAAGTACAGACACGTCTTTATGCACTTCAGATACGAACGTCTTTATTCACTTCATTCAGTGTGATATCAAACATGATTTAATGATGATATGTTCTTTTAATCTTTTTCATCGGAAGTAACCGTTGCGGCATCAATTGGCACCATCATAGCCCCACGTATGTATAGCTATCTTGATAGCAGGGGATTTACAACTCGATGTGACATGATATCGAGAAATTAATGAATTTATTTTTCTTTTATAGTAAAATGTACTCCTCGCGATGTAGCCGAACACCTGGATTGACTCAAATCCAGATTTTTTCTACTACGAACTACGACATCCATGAGGTGTGAAGTTTCATGTTTGAATGATCTAAAACTCGACGTAAAATGCACATGAAATTCACATCGACTTCGTTTAGCCGGATGAGGAGTAGGAATTAAATGTATGTATATCGGTATTCGCTTTTTAATATCCTTACACTCTGCAATTTGAAGGCATACTACTCAGTTTCCCCGGAAAAAAGAATGGCATCGGTCATTAGATCCCGAACTCAATTTGATAATCAGGGGACCTATAGTAGCTCCGGATGTCTAATAGTGTTTTACATGCGTCATACCTATACGCATGACGCATGGTTAACACCACTAGACAATCCAACAATATCCTCCTTAAACCCAGAGATTTCACAATTTGCACGTTTTGCACCGTCAAAAATCGCAAAAAAAAAAAAAAAAAAAAAAAAAAAAAAAAAAAAAAAAAAGAAAAATCCCTTTTGAACTTGAAATGAGTCGATTTGCCACCGAGTCTCTGGTATTACTAAAATAAAGTGGCAAAACGTCTTACCCCGGGGACTCAAGAGGATAAAATGGATTTATGATGATCAAATATAAGTTGGAATCTATTAGCCGTTGTTTTCCATACGTATTTGAAAGCATTTAGAGAATTAACATTTTGGACAGACTAAGTTTTTGGCTCGAATTGATTAAATTGTTTTCACAGGTTGTCACAAGCTCAACGGCATTGGATAGTGAGTTTGTTGCGGTAAATGTCATTGGAATTGGTGGGCACTTCGGGCACCTGCTTTTACGTAAGAATTCTAGGTAAGTAAGCTGTGATCCAATTTCAGTGAAACAAGGTAAAGAAATAGTTAAAAAAAATTCAAGTGAAAAAAAATAGTTTCGTCACGTTAACTTTTAAAAACTTGCATGGGCAAAATGAGCACCTTAGGAGCCGATACATTTGCTTTTACTATTATGCTTCACGTCTACATACAAGTGAATCTCGTGGCACATCAACCAACACACCCTATTTCTCTCGTTTTACCCGGTTCGCCCGTAAACCCAGTACCGTACGGTGAAACAGAATTAATTATTTTTTTTTTACATTGAAATGAGCGATACATTAACTTCTTCATTTTGTTGAATTTTGTGAGGTGAGACTAATCGGAACGTTCTGCGTTCTTTTGCAGCAAAACGCCACCCACCAGAATCACAAAGGAACTCCCCCAACTGTTGGTGATGTCCGCCCGATCTGAAAATGGTATCAATACAATTTTGGAGCAAACAAAGTCCATAACAGTCACCAGAGAATTCGCAGATTTGTTGAATGGTGTGTTCAGACAAAATTTACCCCAGCATCTGCACAGGGGATACAAAATCGTATCATCGGACGCCGCTAAAGACCGAGCCAAATCTGAGGTGAATACATTCGGATCCTACTGGATAAAATGCTCTAATTTTGATTAATTTGTTGTTCCAACCAGACAGATTCGGTGAAAAATTTCAATATTCGGCACCGTCCAAGAGCGCCCCTGCCGTGCTAAAGAAGAACGTCATATAAGCCTTCAGGCGTTTCCAAATTTCCTTCGAAGAATCACGAATTTTCAGGAAAATTTGTGAATATTTTTTATCCGATTTTTAAGAGGATTTTTTCGTAGTTTACCTAAAAAGTCTGAACATTTCAAGGAGAAATATGCCTAACTATTTTCAAAAATACATGTTTGATACGGGGAAATTTGGCAACTCTCGAATGTTCATACGGCGTTCTTCCTTAGCATGGTAGGCCAGCTCTCCCACTTACATTACGACTCTATGTGCTCTATGCAGTCTCACGACCGATTGCTAGATCGTTGTTTCGACAACAGTCTGAATCCCCGAGGAAGGTGAACTGACGGAATTGTGGTCCGTGAAATAAACGACTCTCATGTGAAATCAGACGGGACAGGGCTTTTGTGCTTTTATTCAATCAACATTAGCCATGCATTCAATATTGTTGATATCAGCCCCTTGATGCAACTATTAGTGCTCTGCGAACACGCGTGTTGCATATGAAACAATGGAAGGCGCTCCCCTCTCGCTTGACACTCTTGTCAACGAAGTAGTGCGCGCAGCAGCTTGTAGCGCGCCGTTTTAAGACTTCTTCTTTTAATTGGCAATAATATTTGCTCAGGAAAATGAAGAGTATAACTTACGGCTGATATAATTCAGCGGGCATTTTCCCAAACATTAGAATATTAGGAAACTCGTCTCGAAGTATACTTCGATGAGAAAATTAAACGTTACAGCTCATTTTCCTGCCTTATTCGAATTCGAGGTTAATATACTGTAAACTCTCACGAATCGTTTAAACTATAAATAAGGTCGTAGAATAGTGGTGGGTTCACCCTATTTTGCGGGGAAAACAAGGCAATAAAGTTCAAAAAAGAAAAAAAGTTCAAATCTTTATGAACTTTTTGCCCGTTTTTTCCCCGCGAAATAGTGTGGACCCAGCACTGTTTCATACAGTTCGGGCAAAGTTTCTTAGCGTTTTTTTTTTTGCTCAAACTATAAAGTCGCCTCTCTCTAAATTACAAAAATCGAGCATTTGCAGATGTCTGAAATTTAATGGATTTCGCATTTAAGTGCATGGAAACTACTGAGGGAGCTTAACACGAGGATACCCTTCTCGGGCCATAAATTGATCAATCATTGGAGGAGATATGATAAAATGATCTAATCTGCTAAGATACATGTGTTTAAATGGAAAAGGCTCCCAGCGGGCTGATTATTAAAATTGATAGACAAATCTATAGACAAATAAGACATAGGGAGTATGGAGCAATCCTATTGGTTGAAATGCATGGTTCCTGTAGACTAAGGGAGAAAATGATGGACTAACTATAGGGTCTCTAGTGGGTTGCTGTTAGTCTTTTACCTACCTCCTTTGTCTATTGCAACCACTCGCTTCCACGAGTAGGATCCCTCCATATCCCTTTTGTCTTCTTTGTCTATCACTTTCAACAATCGGCCCGCAGATGACGTCCTTAGGCGGAGCATTTTCTCACTTTCAAATACAATTTTTTTATATATCCAATATCAGAAAAAAATCATAAAAAATACTGCAAATAATCAGCTCTTCAAGCACTCTCAGACGAAGCGATAAAAAAAGTGCGTGCAAATTCTTCATTCCATTTTCTTTTTTCATCCGCGACACCCATTTTCGAAAACGACTTTGCGTGTGCTTTCCGTTAGTATATAATAAATGTTTCCTCTTCCCCATTTTCAGAGGACAGATAGTCCTCGGAGACCGATATGGTGGGTGTTCAGCGGAATGGGCTCGCAATTCAATGGCATGGGGATCCAGCTAATGCACATCTCGATTTTCCGTGACGTCATCGAAAGATGTGACAAGGTTCTTGCTCCTTACGGCATTGACATCAAGCACATATTAACCACCGACGATGAAAGTATATTTGACGATATAACCAACTCCTTCGTCGGCATCACGGCAGTACAGGTAAACATCAGTAGAGTAGCGCGCTTTACGATTTATCGATTGATCTGTCATTTAAACCAATGGAAACGGATCGATAAAAAGGGTGTTCGTAACGAACTCCTCAATAATAGATTCTTTGCCGTACCTTCTAACGGGGTAATATCGCTATGTTGTAGCATACTGCACAATTTTCGAAACTTTATCGGCACTGTGAACACTAATTTTTTGTTTAAATTAAGCTTTTTTGAAAACTTTTTTGAAAAACGATTATAGGTATAACCGGTTCGATGTACCGTTTGGTTCAAAACAATAGAGCATAATCCCTCAAACACAAATTTTAGGATTTAAAATGAAAAATCTGAAAATGAGAAAATTCTCATCAATTTCACTTTTTATGGCCGAATTGCATTCGTAAGAATCAAAAATCTATCATGAAATACCCGCTTCCTCATATTACTACATATTATTATTATCCCTACATACATATTACCATCTACGAAAAAGGCCTTAAAGAAGTTCGATTCTTATATTATGCAGTAGTCTATTGCTACGAGCGCTAGAACTTCAGTGAAAAAAAAGAAAAATTGTTTAAAATTTCAGCTCGGGTTGATTGAATTGCTGAAAGCCTTGGGATTAGAGCCGGACCGAATGATCGGGCATTCTTTGGGAGAATTGGCGTGTGCAAACGCCGACAACTGTATGACTTTGGAAGAAACTATTCTGGCATCATACAGTCGTGGAAGAGCATCAAACGAAGCACCTCTCATCAAAGGGATGATGGCTGCCGTAGGTAAGATTGACTGTGACAGTTTTCTGCCAAATCTTCATTCGTCTTTGAATGTGCTTCAATCCCTTGCCTCGGAGATGCCTAAATTTATTATGACGTTTCAATTTTTCTTTTTAGATTTTGGGTTTTGTAACTAATTGAGATCTTGCACGTGTCAGGAATTTTCGATCTAACAACTGATTTCTATACGTTGAAGGCAGGTAGTCAAATCAGGTATTTTGTCAAATGCCTAGGCAAATAGTCAAATATTCTTACTTAGATTGAAATTTTGATTTTTTACCCTAATTTTGGACAAAATAATTCGTTGCTCCAGTAAGAAAGAATTTTCTGTAAAAATATGCAGCATAATATAGTATTTTAGACGATTTCAATCGATTTTACCGATTTTTATCCTGAATGCACATTTATCACGAAATTTTCAGCTCACGTCATAAAACACAGAATTTTTACAATTTTAACATTAAAATGTACTAAAGTCATGTAAAAAGGAAGGAACAAGGAGATTTCACAGATTTGAAGAGTTATTCTTCCCAAAATATTGAAAACCCGTGAACTCCTCGCCTTGCCATAAATTTACAGAATTCCATGAACTGTCAAAATTTGACTACCTACCAGCCTAGGCATTTGATAAAATGCCGGATTTAACAAATTGCCTTTGACATTTCTAAAATCTTATGAGAAACACGACACTGCCTCTTGTTTGCTCTTAAACAAACTCCAAAGCTCAAAAAAAGCTCTCAAAGTTGAGGCTGTAATAGAGGGGATATCCCATCCCACGCTACCCTGAGAGTCCACCTTTACATCAAGACAGACTCTTCATGCAATGATACATAAGCAGGCTTGCCATGTTTTCAATTTTGGAGTCTCCTAATAAATTGGTAACCTTCTTAATGTATTCGCTCCCTATCTTTGCATGGAGAGTTTGTGTTGATACATAGAGGTGGACTCTTAGGGAAGTGCAGGATATCCCCGCTATTACGGCCTCAACTTTCAGAGCTTTTTTGAGCTTTTGAAAAGGGTACAGCGGAACGAGCACCTTAACAATCGATTCTTTACCGTAGCGTCAAGAGGGGAAATATCGATGATCGATCATTCACGCCTAGCCACTGGTTCCTACAATTGTATTCCTTTGTCGGGCGCAGTAGTATACATTGATTGATACTATTTTACTTTATGTATATATTATTCTACCTCTCCTTCTCTATTGCTAATGATTAATATATATATTATTCTACCTCTCCTTCTCTATTGCTAATGATTAATATATATATTATTCTACCTCTCCTTCTCTATTGCTAATGATTAATATATATACATATATATATATATATATTTTCGTTTGTGACAAAGGCTTTTGAGCCCATGAAATAAAAACACACATTTCTCATTTAATTAGGAGTAGGATCAACGGACATTGCCAAACTCCTACCGGAATCTATTGACATTGCCTGTTTAAACTCGGACACAAGCTGCACCTTGTCGGGCCCTGTGGAAGACGTTGAAAAATTCGTGGCGGAACTTCATTCGAAAGGGATTTTCGCCAAGGCGGTTAATGTTGGCAACATTGCATACCACTCTAGGTACATACAACCTGCCGGCCCTCTTTTACTGAAGTACTTGCGAGAGGTGAGTCACGGTTTCAACTTTTCATCTGAAGGCGATCCAGGATCTCTTCAAATTCACTTTTTAATTCAAAGTAGTAGGTATATTCTTTTAAACACGCATATCTTCCCGCTCGCATTTAAAAAAAAGACAATTATAAAACTGTACTTTCACATTTCATAATTTATGCATCATATCCAGAGCCGGATGTAAGCAAGTGCATTTTATTTATTTATTTTTATTTTTTTTTAACAAAGTTATACTTATTGTGATTAATACAAGAAGGAATTATACTTAACAGAGTATAACTCGAAGACCTGTTTTACATACTAACTAAAGCCTATGTTTTATTTATTTACAATTGTGTAGGCAAGTGCATTAGTCCTCCTGCACTGGGCGGCAACTTACGTTTTTCTTTTTCTTTTTTTTTCCTATTCATCAGCATTTCGAGTAAAGCATGATATCCTCATGCAGGCAATCCTCAGGTATGCAAACTTCTTTTACTACTAATATTTTCAATTTTTGCAGTCTTTTTTGACGATGAACAAATATACAACAAAAACAAAATGGAAGCTCTAATGGGGGNGGGGGGGGGGGGGAAGTTCCGGGGTTTAGAGGAATAAATCTCAGCTCAGCTATAACTTGTTTCGGGAACAAGTTCGCCGAACTATGTTCCGCGAACCGCGTTTGTGTGGACAGGACCCAACAGATTTCCCATGGGTAGCCATGGCGGACTTTATCGGGCGCCATCTTGCTCCAGCGCCATCTTGCTCCAGTCGCGGGTCTCAGAGTGTTTCCCCTTCCAGAATTACTCCTGAGGGTACCACCAACGAGCCTTGAAAGCGGCATATTCCAAAAAAAGTGCAGGGTTTTCGCCATTTTTTGGTCGTTGTCAACGGACTATGGGACGGTTTTGACAGGGTGAACTCTTGCAGAAATCATCCAAAGTATCGTATTGATCTTGCAGGTCCTCCCAGAAAAGAAGAAACTATCCCGAAAATGGATCAGCACATCCGTGCCCAAAAGTAAATGGAATACTGATCTTGGATTACATAGCTCTCCAGAGTACCACACTAACAATTTACTCAGCCCTGTGCTCTTCGGGCGGGTCCTCAAATCGGTCCCAAAAGATGCGATTCTGATTGAAATCGCTCCGCACGGCTTGCTCCAGGCCATTCTCAAACGGGCGGTCAGGAATTCAGTCAGCAACGTCCCCCTCACCAACAAAACTTCTCCTGATGCTCGGATCTTCCTCCTGGAAGCAATTGGGCGGTAAGTAATCAACACGAAAATGGAGATGTTGCAGGTGTGAGGAATTTGCGATTTGATTACTGATTCTTGTGTGAAAGTTCTCGAGAAACACGATGGTGCCACTGGTTTTCTCTGAAATTAACTCCCAAGCTCAAAAAGAGCTCTCAACTTGATGCCAACATGGAGAGATATCCCACGCTATCCTGAGAGTCCACCTCTACATCAAGACAAACTCTCCATGCAAAGCTAGGGAGCAAATACATTGACAGGGCTGTCACTTTATCTGGGGACTCCAAAACTGAAAACACGGCAACCCTGCCAATGTATTTGCTCCCTATCTTTGCCTGGAGAGTTTGTCTTGATGTAGAGGTGGACTCTCAGGATAGCGTGGGATATACCCTCCATTTTGGGCTCAACTTGGGAGCTTTTTTTGAGCTTGGGAGTTCATTTCAGAGAAAACCAGTGGTACCATCGTGTTTCTCGCAAACTTTTACATAAGAATCAGCTGTCAAATCGCAAATTCCTCACACATGCAACATCTCCATTGAGTGTGCGAGAAATGGATAAAATTGTTTTGTTTTTTAATGGGCCAGTTGTCCTGCGGGCAGATTATTGAAATTGATAGACAAAGCGGTAGACAAAGAAGGCAAACTGAAAATAAAGAGTAGAGGAAAAATAGGGATTTGAGGACACTGCATTGTTGCCGATTTGACTGTTGAAAAAGATGAATTTTTTGTGAATTTATTTTAGATGTGACAACAATGCAGGTTGATATTTTTGGTCGAATTTAATACAGGTTCCCAAAATTATGGCAATTTAAGTTTCCAATTTTTTTCAATTGTTGTCAAAAATCATACAGGGTATTGGTTGAATGAACTGGTTGATATTTTTTGTCGAATTCAATACAGGTTTCCAAATTATGGCAATTTAAGTTTCCAAATTTTTTTTCAATTGTTGTCAAAAGTCATACAGGGTATTGGTTGAATGAACTAAATTATTGTTGAGAATATTATCATGCGGAAAATGTTCATAAATTTAGCATACATCTGGCTGATTGGTTTTGCTACGCGACATTCCTAGCCTGGCTGCTTGAGCTCGCCACCCGAAACCATCCGTTGATAAGGTGACAGTGTCCAGTGTGATGGGTGATTTACTCCATAAAATGGCAACCGTCGTCTTTTCATGCTGTGACGCGTTACCAACGTTGTAAAATTGAGCGGAAAAATTTGAATTAATTACGGGTGATGGCTATTTTAGTGTATAAAATGGCATCCGCCTTTTCATGCTGTGACGCGTTACCAACGTTGTAAAATTGAGCGGGAAAATTTGAATTAATTACGGGTGATGGGTGACGGGTGAGGTAGCGTCTATGATTTTGTAACCATGGTGCCATGGTGTGACGTCACTACCTATCAGGGGGTGATGGGTAAGCTTATTCCTTATCAGTCTAGTAAAATTGAGCAGAAAAATCGGGGATAATTTACGGGTGTTGAATGATTTACCAACAATTTTTTCATGCTATTACGTTACCAATGATGTAAAATTGAGCGGGAAAATTTCGGGGTGACGGGTGTTTTAGAGTATAAATTGTCAACCTCCATTGTTCATGCTACATCGAAAAAATTGAGCGGGGAAATCACACTCATTCCCGGGTCCCCGGGTACATTTTCAAAATTGGAGACCAGGCGTACAACGGTGAAAATTTCCGAAAATTAAAGATTGAAAAATTCGAGTTTAATCATTGAGTGTACGATTACCTTTTCAACATTTTTCCATCAACAGTCATATAAATTTTCAATTTTCAATTTCGGAAATTTCCCCCGTGTGTAATCTCTCCTATGAATTTAATTGATTACCAACAGACATCAACGAAGGAAGGAAGGTGAGAATATTTCACCGTGTGTCATCATACTGGGTTCAATTGATTCATTCAAGGACACGGCGAGGATAGCACGGATATCTTCCCGTTATCAGTGAATCTTAACGAGAGGGCTAGTTTTATTGTATGACATGTCAACCATGTTTTTCAGTTGTGTCGTAACAGGGTTGAAAATTGAGCGGGAAAATTTGAATTAATGAGGGGCAAGTTGCTACACTAACCAAGAAAAAAATATTTTTTTTCGAATCATGTTAGCCCGCACCCAGATGTCAGATTGAACGAGAAAAAATGATTTTCTTTCGAATCATGTTGACCAGCAGCGTGTCATGCTTTGAGATATATCGATTGATCTGCCATTTATACCTATGGAGGAGGATCGATAGACAAAATGTTCGCAACGATCACCTTCATAATCGATTCTTTACCATAGCTTCTAATGGGAAAATATCGATAATCGATCACTCGCGCCTCGTCTCTGATGTTAGCCAGCCGCTACATTGAA